CACAAGATTAAACAATAACCAAATCAAACACACAAAGACGATCATACATCAATATACACGATGACATCTGGAAAAAAAAATTCAAAGAGCCTAATCCAAATTATACAGTTTATATATCAGGCATACCATATCAAAATAAGAAATCACAGATGACATTGAATCTTCTAATTTTTTAAATTAGAAGGTCAAAGTAAAAAGAGAACCTGCTATAAAAAATAAGAAACATTATAATATATCATTAGGAAAATCATCGTTAAAAATTTACCTTGAGAAACAAACAAACACAATCGTATTACAAAAGATGAAATCTTATCAAAAGTTTTAAAAAACATATTTACCCTCAAGAATACTGACCAGGAGCAATATCCTTTCCTTCTCATTTATCTTCCTTATCATCATGATCTTCAAGTTTCAGCTCGACTTCTTCTAGAATAAAATAAGTTGTATTTGAATTGTATTAAAATAATTTCTTTACCCAAATTGAAAATAAAATAAAGCTAAACCACATACGGCTGTGGATTCTAACAACAGACAGTTTGGGTTCCAATGAAAATCACAAATCATCCGAAAACAAAGAATTAGAAAAGCTTCTTATTAAGATAGGACCAAATTTTAGATTTATATGATAATAAACAGAGACCGAACTATGAAACAATCATATAATTCGGCGACAAAGGTATTTACCTTGAAAATAATGGATGGAGATACGCCTGAAAAAAAAAACAATAACCGGAAACACATAAGAATCAATCCAAAATCTCATATAAAAGAAAAAAAAGAACTAAATCAGCAGATCTAAAATTGTTGAAAAAATGAAAACACGATATGCAAAGGAGTACGTAAGAAAACGTATATATATATATACTACACAAAATCTAGGGTTTTACTTATAGGATAAATATGAAAAATTAACATAAATTTAATGATAGTATCGATATTAAGGAAAGATACGTAAAAATGATCTCCAAGTATCTCAATACTATATTCTACAACGGTAATTATGGCGGAAATAATTACGAAATTATCAAAATAACAGAAATTTTCCATATAAAAATCATTTACATTATGAGCCGGAAAGTAGATTTTTTATTGAGCCCAATAATAACTAAACATAAAATCCTGGCCCAATCCAATATAATATTTTATTTTATTTTAAAAAATCATCGATGGCAATGCTTGTAAATAGCGATTTCATTAAGGGTATTTTCAGCAAGACAAATCTTAAACTCGCTGTAGAGCCGCCACGTAGGAAAAATGACTTCTCTTTTATAAGTATAGATATATCAGTTTAACAATTTTAGCCCATCATTAGGTTCACCAAAACAACTCTATACTAAGAAAAACATTTAGCAACAAAAAATAAAAAATTCTATATGCTTGCATCGAGATCTTACTTGTAATATTCTTCAATGGCCAAGTCTAGCAATAGATCGTCGGAATTGAACAGTGGATCTTTGGTCGATCGTTTTGATGTAGCTACCGAGTAGGAGAGCTTCATACACTCCACAAAGCGGTAAAAAGTGGATCGCTTTTTTAGAGCATGTCCATTGCAAGTCTGTTAGAAAGTTTTTTGTCATGGCAATGAATAACAGTGAAGAAGACTAATAAACTATACACGTTTCCGTATATGATTTTGGAATTATTTGCTAGAAATACAAAAAAAAAACTATAATATAGTTTCGGGTTGGTTCAATCGGTTCTACAGTCAGTTCGGTTTGTTTGGCAATAGTTTTTTTTTATTCGAGAATATTTTTGATCTGTTAATTCAATTTGGTTTAGAAACAACTTACTTTTATTCTTCGGTTTGGTTTTTACGCTACATCGATTAAAGCTAAAACGATCGGTACATTCGGTGTATTTCGGTTATTTTGGTTTTTGTTTTTTTTGGGTAAAATCCAGTTAAGAAAAGTAAAAACAACAGTAAAAAAAACAAAAAAAAACGATCGTTTTCAATCATCCGAAGTGCGAGGGGTTCATAGGAGAAGCAACCAAGCTGCCAATATACTAGCTAAAAATCTAAATCCTTCTGCTTCCTTTATCTTTTATTTCTCTGTGTTTTCAATTCTTGTAACAACATTACATGAGGATCATCTCAGTTCATATCAATAAAAGGATTTAACGAGTTAAAAAAAAAA